GTTAGTTGCGCCGCCCCCCCCCGCCCCCCCCCCCCCCCCCCCCCGAAAATCAGCAATGTGATGAACCTACATCATATTAAGGTTAACCTACCAGACAGCAGAGGAAAGAGGAAGAAAAAGGGAAGAGATGGCAGGAGGGGGAAAAAGATTGGCTTTTCATTCTCCTTCTCTTCAGTAAAAAAATTTTCTCTCCCTCTTCACATTGTTTTTTCCCCTCATAAATCAATACTCATTTTCCAAATCCAGAACAGAAACTGCTCAGATTGAAACCATTCGAGGAAAAGTTGATTCACAGCTATCTCCTACAGTCATAACTGCCTGGTCACGTGCCATACTGTAACAGAGGTCACTAAATAGCAAGTAAAAGAGCACCTGCAAATCCTCTTCAACTAATCCGAGGATCACAGTTCAAGATTCCTTCTGTGGAGACTGACAGTGTGATGGCTCACAGTGAAGATGTGAGAGTTTTAAGTCTGACCACCTATGAGAATTCCCAGGGCGTTCTAAAAGAGCTCACGGCACACAAGCCCTGCAAAAACTTCCCATTATGGCACTATATGTATTATCAGGACAGTAAATCAAAAGACAGAACAAAAACTGTCACTCTCTGAGCATGCATCAGTTAATGGAACAGTGAACAACTGAAGACAGAAGGCAATTAAATCGAAACAGTTCATTCCACCGCAATCCATATAGGAAGTATTTTTCCTGAGAGAGTTAAAGAGAGTAATTAATACTACACTACTTCACAGATTTTAGCCTATTTATTTGAAGTCATATACAAATTATTGCATCTGTGAACATGTATTTCTCATTAATAAGTTACAGTGTGCAAACTTGGGAATAAAGTTTACTCCAACAGCAGAACTCTGGGAATAGGAAGCAGTGGGAAGAATTACATGCTATTACCTCACCTCGGGAGTCTATGGAACATAGAGCATTACAGATGCAAAAAGCAAGAAACATTTAATAGTCAGGAATACATTAACTCCAAATTAATTTACTTAATATCAACATTACCACAGTTCCTTGATTTGCTAACACACTGATGCACTTAGAGAAAACCTGGGCTTCACTTTCAAGCTATTCCTTTAACTACTTATTTGAAAATGAATGAGAAAGCATGCACATACTTGTTTCTCTTACCAGACGTGCAACATACCATATCATGAGAACATAAAGCATCACACAAAAACAGTATTTTTATATTTACATAAATCCTTAAAGTCTATCTTTAAATGTTGATTACAAAGCAGTCAAGTTTGTGCTCCAAAATGCTAAACCCTCAAAGAGGAGGTTTTTGTCATCTCTCTCTATATATATCCGAAGACTGGTTTCAAACAAAAACCTAATAAAAACCCACCATGCAGGAAGTGTCAAAGCACCTAATACCATCAAAATCAGTGGGAGATTTTGCCAGCAACTTAACAAGACAAACAAAATTCTGAACATTTTTCTGGTAAGAAACCATGCTCAAAGGGATAACATAACAACTCATGAATACAGAAAGTGTGCATTAATGACTTTCCTACTTATTACTTACAAAAATGCACTAATACAGGTAAGAGTTTAGGAAGTCAAGCACTCAAATTTAAAAACCCCAGACTTCACCATAACATGCTTGCATCTTCATGCTGCCTGTAACTATGTAATTACATATTGTTCTCATAGAGGAAACAATGTA